GCATCTTCAGCCCCCCATAACACATTTCCAACATGTTTCCCTGCCCCGTTTAACTATTTTCTCTTCCACTCACAACTGTGCCTCACTGAGAGTGTCTCCAGGACAGTTTTCTGAGGATGCTTCTGTTCATTTACTCATGTCCAGTTGCCTTCACAGGCATAAATCAGACATGAAGACATTATTAGCAGCAATTCCTGGCACCCCCAGCACACTGAGCAAGCATCCTATTTAAGAAAACAATATACAATGGATTATTCATAACAGACTGAGTGCGTCACAGATGAGTAATTATAAACATGAAATATATCAATAATGACAATTCTTACAGCAGATTTAACAAAGTAACATGCTACAAATAGACTGTTGGTTGATTATGTATTATTAATGAAATGCCAAAACATTTAGCTTTTTTAACAGGACAATTAATTACTCCCAATAAATATGACTTATGCCAGGCCTCTTCTTTAAAGGAGGCTTTTGGACTTCTGGTGAGGGCTATTTTTTAAAAGCAATAGTTGATGGTTCCTACAGAAAGTTCCCTAGGAGCAATGAGGACTGGATCCATTGACAAATATATAAATGAGCCAAAAGGTAATTAAAGAGGTGAGGGTAACCATAACACTGGAATAATTTTCTTATAAATTGAGGTGGATCATAGTGTACAATTCAAACCAAGATATGCTCTAAGCACTTCCCCACTGCAGACATTCAGGACAGTTAGTTTCCTCGGGAAGGTGTCCATACACTTACTATGGCCCAGCTTTAAAAGAAGATCAAGATTTAAGAAGAGGATCCCAGTTTCTTGGTGGGAGATGGTCAGCTGACTCAAATGAAGACCTGCCCCAACAGAAAGTTTCCAGAGCCACCAGCCTGGTTATTATTAACTACTATTAGGCCAGGAACAGGCTATGTTGAGACAGAGTTCAGAGACTGTTGTGCTCAGGTGCCACTTCATGCAGAAAACCGGAATTACCAGCTCCCTTTGGATGCACAGATGTTGCAGCACTTCTGCAGATGGTGGCCAGACGTCCATCAAATGGTTCACTGTCCACCCAGAGCAGCTGTTTAACACCAACCTCTACGCTATTCAGCTGCTTATGGGAAGAGTATAGAGGTAGATCTCAAACTTGCAATGACCTCTGTATGTGCCCAGCGCTTGGCAGGAACGGAGCTCCTCCGAGGGGTAAGCCCTGGAGATCTGATGCTGCAAAGCACTGAAGCATTCCCTGGACTCAGAGGGATCTCAGCACATGCTGGAGCGCCTCGTTGTCCAAGACCTTAATTCACGAGAAACCAGATCCTACCAGAGAGAGCTGAGCTGCCTTGAGAAAGTCTGCACTTCTTTCTTCGCGAGCTACCGGTCTTTGGAAGATTATAGTAAAGCTGTTCCAATAAACCAAAATGGTCATTTCCTGCTGGAGCACAGTATTTAGCTCTTGGGGTGGCACAAATTACAGCATCCTTATTTTTATTTCAGTATTTATTTGAAGGAAATGTACAAAAGAAATCTGATGCTGGCTGTATTTTAAATCCATGAGCACTCTGTAAACAAGCTAGACCCAGAGAGATTTGCATGTTTCTTCTTGAAACATAAGGAGAACCAGTGAGACAGAATAATTGAAAACAGTTATGGAGACTTTATTTTCTTGTTTTTCCTGGGATTTGCTCTTGGGCTGGCTGCTCCCAACCTTAATACCTGACAGGGATGATCAACTATTTGGAATCTTATTTGCATAATAGTTGATGTGCTGACAGCTCTCCATGGGGAAATCACTGCCCTGGCGGAGGTCAACAATATGCAGAGAAAAAAATAGTGTAGCGAGGGCCTTTTTCTTAAACCACAGTTTCTAAAAGGGGTCAGAGCAGAGTACCTAAGGTCAAGGATGAATACATAAATATATCTCAAAGAACACATTACTGTGACATCCTTGGTAGCTTCTAGATATGCCCTCAGACCCTTTGAGAAGCTTGCCAATTAGCAGCACCAATATGTCTGGGTCTTCAAATGCATGAGGCACGCTTCCCTCGGGGCCTGGTGGGGGGCCTGCAGCAATTATGGGAGGGGACCGCAAAACTCCAGTTATCTTCACTGGGACAGGTTGCAAGCATCAGCAGTGCTCATCCAAGCCAACAGGCTATTTACTTAGCTGTTTGCCTAAGGCTTTGCAGGGTTGGGTAACCCTTCAAACTGATCGTATCTACGCAAACAGCTATGGTCCTGCAAATAGAGGAGAATGAGGAAAACCTCATTAAAGTGGATCAATCCCGGGAAGGCAGAAGCTCACTGCAACTCATTAAGTTCACTGAGGTTCTGCCCTACTGACCTCTTTGCAGAATCAGGCCCCCGGCAGGAAGCGAATGCAAGCGCAAAGCGAATTTAGGTTAGGAAGGAATTAAGCCAAACTGCAATTTGTGCGAGGTATCAGTGGCGGCTGTTCCCGCGACTGAACAAGCTTCTCGGGCTTGCTCACGTCATTGTTTAATGTGCCGGCATCAAAGATACAAAGATCCCAAGGAAAGTATTTGCACACAGATGCGCTCCCTACGCACTCGTGACCACCGTGCTGTCACCTGTGCCACCCCACGCGTGCATCCTCCAGGACACTAAGTGACCACAGGCAAACCCAGTATCTGCTTGTGCCCTGTTTAAAAGGCGAAGCAGACAGATTTTGACCCTTTCTGCATTTATAAATATCCAAAACCCTTCTGCAGATACCATGGGGATGAACTTCAGTAAACACACATGATGGAAATACAGCAAGGGTAAGGAAGAGGAACGACTCAGAGAGCCCCAAACCAGGACCTCCACTGAGCTCTCCCCAGCACTGCTGGGCATCGGTTCACTGCTGGGGGTTCAGAGACAAACACAGCAGCCGCTGTGCCTCAGCACCCCACTTTGCAACATCTGCACCCTGAGAGGTAGCCACCGAAGCTGCTGGGATGCCAGCGCAGCGGGCTAAGGCTACAGGCAATGAACAGCATGGATCTGAAACCTCCATCCGGGTTAAATGGCTCAATAATGTATGAAAAAGGGAGGTATATGCTGTCTGACAGCTTCAGCTATGAAGAGACCTAATGACAGTATGCAGTGCAGATGCTTAAGGTTTTCTTTTATCATGCTGTAAAAATGTATATACAATTATGCCCAGTAAGCCTCCACAAGCAGATATTAAGTTCAAGGAATGAGAGGGCAGTTTTAGAACCACCCACTGAATTTCTATACATTTTCCATGTCCTGCCCATGACTTCAGGTTCAACAGACTAAATTCACACTGTGGCTTTAATTACCACTGCTTAATGTCTTTATTCTGAGAAACATTTTCACATTTTAGTGCTTTTATCAAAGTAGTCTGCATTTAATTAAAAGCAGACCTATAAAACAGTTTTGTTTCTACTGCCCTCTTTTCATGATAGCCCAAGTACTATTGCATAATACCCAGTATTTACTTTAGTTGCTTGCTTACACTTTTAACACTAACCACATTCACAGGTTAAAAATACAATTAAAGCCTACCCAGTCTTGCAAAGCTTCTCCATATGTATCAGTTCACCCAGTTAACAGCTGAGCTAACTAATGTATCTTTAGCTGTGGACTGTATAAAAACTGAATAAAACTGACTTGCTATTGTTTACGGACTCATAAAAAATAATTTCAGTTTACCTTAGCAAGCCACCTGGCTAAAATGAACACTCTCAAACCCATTCGACATTCCCAAAATATTCTAAAAAGGCTCTGGCTGTTTCATTTTACATCTCCTAATAGATTGCCTGCCATATTTCATGCTGAATCAATAAAGTTATATGTGCACAAATCGACTAAAATGATGTTTGCTGGTATTTCCAATACAAACAGTTTCTCAGTGGATATTTTCTTCAGTTTACAATAATTCTGGAAGATAAAACATGCGTAGTACTACCACCTCGCTACTGGTCAAGCAATGATTTTGCTTAGAAATTAGGTCATTTAAAGAAAAATAAAATTACTTGCATTGCATTGTAACTTACAGGGGAAGGCTTTCAGGAGGCTGTGTGAGATGCATGGGACCAGCCATTTAAATGTACCAACACCAGGCTGGGATTTAGTCTGCTGAAGGTAAGACTGGACAAGTGGCCCCAAAAATGTTGTTTGTATACCCATCTATATTTATATATACCCATATATCATGATATGGTAGGAATAAGCTGCATCAGCATAGTCCTCAGGCACGTTATGATTGGACAAAAACTGCATGATGATGAAGTCAGAGAGTGTGAGTACGGAGAGAGGAGATACGACCCCATCTCCCCATGAAGCTAAGACAGAAAAAGGAGATTTTGTTTAAATTAACGTTTGTGCAAACTATTTCTCTTTAAGTGGGTTTTGGTTTTGATTTTTTTTTTTTTTCTTTTTGCATGACAAGTTTTGCCCTGGGATTCAATAGCAGGGAGATGCTTGCAAAGTGTTTTTCTTCCCTTATGAAATCCGTTAGTTTGCAGGATCGAGCCCCAGCCTGATCCTGCCCCATGGAAAAGTTAAGGGGAGATGTTGTGAGAAGCAAATGAGGTCTGCACACTACCAGACAGCACAGGACCAGAAGCCAGCTCCTGCAGGATGGAGCCCGACCCACAGCAGAGCTCTGCGGTCCTTACTCCACCTGAAAGTTTCACCCAGTGCAGGGCTTGGCCTGGCTCCACCACCCTCCTCATCCCTCACCGCCTGATTGGGATTCTGCCCAGAGATACACAAACTGGAGCCAGGGCAGTGTTTATCTACAGGTGCAGTGCGGAGAGGATTTATCTACCGGTACAGTGCATACTCTGAAGAAACAGTTAAGCATCCACAAAGACTCCAAAAACTGAAAGGATGAAGCTTCCTCTATCAAACCCTTCCCAGAAATAAACAGTCTCACCACCACACATGCATGCCAGCAGGGAAAGGATGCGTGCAGAGACCCTCTCCCAGCCCAAAAGAAGCCAGCTGGAATACTCCTTGTTAAAAAAATGGCATTGGGAGCTCTTACCTGGTAAAATGTGTATTCCCAGCTACCAGCACACCTACAGCAGCACCAGGCTCTCAGGGGGCATCGCGCGAGGGTGCAGCGGCAGATTGGTGCAGGTCATGGAAGTTTACAGCCAGCAGCAAAAAAAAACAAACCCGAAACCAAACAAAAATATCCCCCAAAAGCCACAACATGACCCAAATGATATCCCTGCAACGGTTGTCTCGTTACAAACAAGACGAGATGAAGGAGGGGTTTTTACTTGCTCTGAGGCATCATATGGAGCTTAATCACAGGCAGTTACGTATATGGTTCTTTTGGCCTTCAATCAAGTGTGTCATTTCAGTGGCAGCTGCCTACGTGATGTAAGCAACATGGGTGATCCAGTCCTTTGCCAATCACGGCCTTGTGCAGCTATTTTACAGCTGAACAATGGGGAAAATCGATTTCCCAGGCAATGAGGAGGTCCTCTTGTAGTCCGGCAAGTACGAGTGAGACGGGATCACGCACCTCTCCTCCGGCAGAGTCACAGGCAACCACAGCCCGGCCAGACCTCAGCGAGCTGCTCCCACAGCTGATCTCGTCCCGCTATCATTTCCCATCTGCATCCCGGCGACTTCCAAGACACTCCAAAAGCCACCGAGAGCCAAGACAAGCTTGCAAGGCGCCCAATGAATTAGCGCGACACGGCGCGGCGTGTACTAAGGGGGATGCAGCTGCTACATGGAAAACAGTAAAACTTGGTGGGTGGAAAAGGTCTGAGCTGCTGGTGAGTAACAGGAGAAACAGCTCACACTCAGGACACCAGCAAAGCACGGCAGCTCAGCCTTCCTTAATGCATTCCTTTTGCTGTTCAAGTGGGTAAATCAGGAGGCAATCATTGCAAATCATCTATTAAATCTGGTGATTGAAATTATATCTGAAATAAAATGAGGCTGGGCTGAACACATTAAAGCTATTAGTAGGCATCTGGGCGACCAGGCAGGACTCTCTTTAGGAGTCTTTTGGTTGCTGACAGCGGCATCAGGAGGTGTTTGAGGCCAGATTCCTCCGTCGTGTACATTTGTTGATTTTTGACAGATTCATTAAGACCCCATCTATTCAAACAGATGGTGGATGCTCCCTTTGCTCTGGGATCTTCATTCTTATCTAACTCCACAAGAGCAGGACACTGCATAGATACTGAGCGCTTATTACATCATCCACGGTATGAACGAGAAGAGGGCCCAGAAATTAAGAAAAAGGTTTTCTGGGCGGTAAAAGTGATGTTACGCCGCTCCATGGCAACTTGTGTGCCCCTCTCCACAACCACGCGTGTGTGTGTGTGTGTGTGTGTGTGTGTGTACCCGCAACCGCACACAGCCAAAGGGGAGGGGGGGGAATAAACACCCGTGAACAAACCACACACGCGAGGGGGACGGGGTAACAAGTGCTCCCGTCAGTGGGGAGGGGATGAGCATCCACACCCGCAGACACCCCGCACACACACACACACTCCACCGCCATCCCCGGCCCCCGCTGCAGCCCGCGGGGGACCGCTCCGCCGCCGCCCCGTCTAAGCAAGTCGGTAGGGCTGGACCAGCCCCTGCTCCGGCCAACAGGTCGGTGTCGTCCCCCCCCCGGGGAGCACCGGCTGCCCCCCACCCGGCGAGGGAGGGTGTTTGCAGGGAGCCGGCTGCGCCGGCTCCCTGCAAAC